ATTAAATTTCCTAGTTACATACTGGAAATTAATTGTAAGGTCAGTGCAGTGCAGGATCTGTTTGCTCTTCATGTATCTGGTGGCTATTCAGAATGTTGTTAAATTTGAATCTTTTGAAAGAAAATCTAAAATAAATCACTGTGTTGACCGATCATACTCCCACTTGAGGGCTCTGTCCAGTTAAAAGAACAAATGGAGATTGATGTTTGACAGACTGCTTTTGACAGAATGCTGCCAGAGCTAATAGAAATAGATGTCTTGTTCTTTGAGAGTTTGCAGAATGTCAATACTTTTGGGAAGAAGTTCAAGCTCCCAAATGTGAAAGACAAAGAACAGCCGTGTATATGCACACCAAAATAGGTAATCGCTTGGTGGCTACGGAGGTCATCTCAGCTGTGGGAGGAAAAGCAAGGACGTTTTTGTGCTTTTTATCTCATCTGTGTGCCCTGACTGCCGGCCGTTGTTCGTTCTCCGAGTTGCTGCTTTATTTGCACCATATATTTAATTCTCATCAAATTGGTACGGTTTTGGAGAGTTCACTTCTTTCAAATAAAGGAGCCATTTTTATTCTCAGGGTGAGGGAAGGGAATTTGTTCCTTCTTCCTTTTTTTAGACAGCTAATGGGTTATTTGCGGTTATGCTCTCTTTGCTAGTTCAAAGGTAAATGAAGTTTCATAGGCATACATAGAAGTTTTTGCGGACTAATATTTAGGTTACAGTAATGCCTGCAGATCCCAACTGAAGTTAAGGCCCTAGAGCATCTCGCACAGAACGTGTGTTTAAGAGCAGCGTTGTGGCAGGCATCTCCCCTGACTGTATATGTTTCTAATACAGAGCTCTCAGCTATCTAGGGTACTTCTGCAGCTGATAGGGAGAAATAAATCTACTTTGGAATGTGATGAGCATAGTCTGAAAGCACAGGTTTTTTTTCTGTCTGCTGGGTATAAGGGCAATTTAGAGAACTACCTTGGAGGTGTGCAACGTAGGTATCTGAACTTAGATGAACTGGTAGCAACGGCCTCTTGTTTAAATAAATACTAGGCCAAAAAGAACAAGATTGGGGAACTCCAGAAGAACCATAGCTGATGTGGCCATGCCATGTTCATGTCAGTGACAGCCTGAGAATGCATGGGAGCTTCTCTGTCCTAATTTTGCTGCCCACTGGCTTAGAGGAAAGAAGTGGTAACATTTCAATGTCACTTTTTGTCATAGGACGTTGTTCCGGTCTCTTTTAAAGCTTCACGGTCTCTGACGGCACCTTATTTAACTACCAAGTTCACGTGAGACTTGTTCAGTGTAGGACATATCTAGTGTTGTGCTCATAATGAGAGTGAATTGTGTTAGTAACTGTTCTCCTTTATCTTCTGAAAAGCTCTAATACAGACTTCAGTGGGGGCTTGCTTTGGAAATCTTAAGAAAATTGGGGGGGGGGGACAGGGGGAAGGGAGAGGTGTGTTAAAGTTGGTCTTAATTGTAAGTTTCTGTTACTGTTTTGGGGCAGGGGGAGGACAATGACAAAATATCTTCTTCCTCTAGGTGGAAAGGAAAATATTTCCATTTCAGTCAGAGGTGTAATGGTCTTTATGCTTTTACCCCCAGAGGCAGCACATCTCCAAAGGAGTAGCACCTTTCAAAGACAGGCAGACATAAGCTGTAGAAGCTTATCCATGGTGCATCATGAGGTGGATTTTGGCCAGGGAGCCAAATCGTAAAAGAAGAATGGGAGCAGAAGTAGTTGTATCTACAACTCCTAATAGGCACAGTGCTGCCATTTTGAATAAATGGTTTCAGCTTTCAGCTGAAATACTTTCACTTTGGGATACTTGTTTCTCTTGGCAGAATACTTTACATTTTGCATGAACAGCAATCTATTTTTATAAACAGGTTTTTTAGTCAGTAATCCTGTTATCCGTTAAAAATGGCTTAAGCAGAATTTTACAGCCAACTGTTGTGTGAACTTGGAGGGATGCTCAGCCCAGAGCAAGCTAGCACAACTGCCAGTCATGCCTTCAGGGGTAAAGTTTCACAACAGGTTTTTTGGTGAATTTACCAGACTGTGCAAGTGGGTGGGTCTGGCTAAGGAGCCGCATTTGGAAATTTGTTGGGTTTTCCACCATTATAGGACATATCCTGTATGATGTGGTAAGTAATCCAGTACTGTAGGACAATATTCCCTTTTCTCAGCATTTCAGTAGCGAAATGAAGGTGCACAACAGACTGAATTCCTTCTCTTGGAGGAACTCTCTGCTGTGTAGATAGCTACATTGTTAATGCACTGGTTAAGAATATGTTTGAACTTTACTACAGCCGCAACGCTATAAGCTTAAAAATATATATACTTTTATGTAACTTTTATAATCAAGGCTTTTTACTGTGCATTTCAACAAAGTGAGTTATAAAGTAATAATGCTCGTTCAGCAATGAACTCTGCCCTTCAAACAGCATGAACGTGTAGTGATGGTCTATATACATGTTGCCAAAAGAGACGTTTTGCATTACATTTTGGATTTTGTAGCTCAGCACAACAGTGAATGATGCCTTTTGGATCTGCAAATGATAAGTCACGCTGTTCTTACTCCAGCCTGTCTGCCATGTCCTACAGCCAGTGGTTGGCACCTTTGTGGAGCAACTGGAACAGCAGAAAGTAAAAGGAGCTGCAGTTCACAGCGCTGCTCTTAAGTCTGAAATAAGCAGTGCTTTGGGCATGAGGTGATGGGATGCAGGTGGTGCCTAGGCTATATGCTGATCTGTTCTGTAAGGGAGCAGTGTTCGGGTGAATGAAACAAATCCTGTCTGTCATCCTAAATTAGACTCACAGTCAGCGTGACATGCAGATAGGATTTTTAAGTTCTTTGCAGTGAGATCTAGGTTATGCTCTCTTAACATGAGGTGTTTTGCAACAGTGTTGCCTGATTCCCATCCCTTGCAAAATGATTTATTTCTAAATCTGTATTAGTCCACCCACATCTGACTCGCAAGGCAGCCCCAAGAACAGTTGTTTCAGCATAGCTGGGAGAAGGTGCAGGATTCAGAAGAAATGGAGGGGAAAGCAGAGACTGGAAAGACTCCACATACTGCTGCCAAATACGTGATCATGCAAAGACAGGTATTGTTATGCCTTCAATGCTTCCCTTAGGATTTCCAGGTGAATTTCTTCCCAAAACGTTAAGGTTAACTAGGGTATGGCTCCTTGGTATTTTTCAGGCAGATGGGAGCTTGTGCTGCCCAGAACTTAGTCTGCCTCCAGCCATGGGTTAATGGGCCCTATCTGAGTGATAGGGCACCCCACCACAAAAACATGGTTTCTGCTCAGATCAGAGCAATAGTGGAGCCGACTTATACCTGTCAGAGGAGATGGTGTGGGGCAGAAAGGGAGAAATATTTGAAAATCACATCATTGATCAATAACTGCTGAACAAATATATCACATTACTGTATATGCCTTGATTTTAGTAATGAGGTCTACAAAATTTACTTTTTCTGGATACTTTTGACTGTATGCGAGCAGTTGTGCTGACCAGCATGCTAGGAGTTGAGCTAAGATACAAGATCTAAAAGCATGCTGTTAAACTTAGAGCTATACCAAAACACTTGCATAGCTCTTCTGATCAGAGGGTATGTAACTCCAGTACTGTACAGGAAACTGCAGAGGACTGGGAGGAACTGGGCAGTGAACGTGTGTGCTAGCACGGGTGGAGTGCAGCTGATCCCACCTGCGTCTGCCATCCTCGAGGACCTCTGTGCTGGTTCCTGGGCTGGCACAGGCAGGGAATGCCTGAGCTGTCCAATCTGCCAGCACAGATGGACCTTATCTGCCAGTCGTGGAAGTGGGGATCACGTCTTGTTACTAGATGTCAAACTGAGGTCCTTCGTCTTATGCCTAGTGGGGAGAAAAAAAAAAAAAGTCTGTCACAGAAGTATCAGGTGCTGTCTTGTTTAGGATTTTGGTCTCCATTGTGGTAGGACCATCATTTATCAGTGCTGTGATTTCTTTTGAATGCTCTTCTTCTGATCTACAAAGTCATTAGGAAATTAACTTATTCTTACTGTGGTAGCTGTGCTCGGTCAGTGCGTCCTATGATGGCTGTAAGGTAAGAAAGATTGCAAGTTCAGCCTTTTTTTTGTTTGTTTGTTTTTCTTTTGAGGAGGTTAAGGAAAAGAAAAAAGAAAAAAATAATGGTGTGGCAAAAATAGGTGTCTCTCCTTCCTGGCAGAGCTGTACTAATATAGTGGATATTTCTCCCTTTCAGAAAGAAGGTTGCCTCTGGGAAAGTTACCTGTGTTTTACCTGCTGCCCCTGTGCCACTGGCTGCTCCATCACTTCACTCATGGCTGTGTAATGGTGATCATCTCTTTTCCTTCCCTTTCTTCCCCTCCTGCTTCTCCAGGACACAGATGGGATCAACCTGTACTACTGGTCCCTGTTTGATGGACACGCTGGGTCGGGGGCAGCTGTGGTCGCTTCCAAACTGCTGCAGCACCATATCCTGGAGCAGCTGCAGGAGATCGTGGACATCCTGAGGAACTCGGCCGTCCTTCCGCCCACCTGCCTGGGAGAAGAGCCCGACAACCCGGCCAGCAACAGCAGGACGCTGACACGGGCGGCCTCCCTGCGTGGTGGTGTAGGGGCCCCAGGCTCACCCAGTACCCCTCCAACACGCTTCTTCACAGAGAAGAAGATCCCACATGAGTGCCTGGTTATTGGGGCCATAGAAAGTGCATTCAAGGAAATGGTATGTATATCTCAGGGCTCTGAAGTCCTTGTTGCATATGCTAATGGGTCACATGGCCTGGAGAAGATGAATGTTTAGGGATTATTTTCACCCTTCTGTTTTTCTTCCCCTACTTAAACACCATCTGAGTGCAGATGGAATTATTTAAGAGCCTCAACAGCTTACCTGGTACATCCTTGTGAGGCAGGAACTGCATCTTAAACGTGGTGCTTCCTGGGACTTGTGCATTACTTGACTCTTTGAAGCTTGGTGCTCTTTTCCTTTTTTCTTCCCTCCCCCCCACTTCCTTTTGTAAAACAAAAATTAGTATTGCCTCACAGTAGCAGATTCTAGCAATGGCTGTTATCGTAAGGCTGTGTATAAGGGCATGCACTTTACAAAGCCTCATTGCCCTACCAGAGCAGCAGCAAAGGCTCTCAGCATTCCTTGCACCACCAACACACCTTGTTCGTGTTGCCCACAACTACATAAAAGGTCACATGAGGGACATGGATGAGGGTCAGCATCCTTGATTCAATGACCTGTAGTTCCCGTTAGTGTTGGAGCAGCTCATAAGGCACAGTAGTGACTGTAGAGAGTGTGTGCAGCTCTTGACTGAGTCAGGTTGAGTGTGGGTGAGTGGGGCATGAAGTACGTCCTACTACCCACTTGACTTGTGTACAGTATGAACAACTGGGAGGAAATCATGACTCTATGGAAACAGAATAGCCATCAACTTCCTTATGGAAGGCTGTTTTTTCTCTTTTGTAATTGATGTAGCTGCTCTGCGCCTTCCCCCTTCACTTTTCCACATTATTAAAAGTAATTCTTGTCAGCGAAGCAGAGGCTTGGCCTGCCAGTAAGTACATGCAGATCAGATCTTGGGAGATCTGATCTTGTTCTTTTTCTTCTTTTTTTAATTTTCTTTCTTTGTTTTTAGAAAAGCCTCTTATTTGTGCAGAAGGTTTTTGAACTAATGAGTGTTTCCCAGAGGTTTTATTTGTTGTCTGAAAAGAAGTATTCAATCATTGTTTTTCCTGATATATCTGAATTTTGTTTAGTACATGCATCTAATTAGAGACTACAGTTGTTGTTATAACAAAGTGGTGCTTCACTTTGAATTCTGAATTGCAATTATCTTGTGGATTGTCCTTTCTCCCCAAGGAAGTGCAGGCAAACACTCACCAACTGGCTTTGGACAGCATCATCTGACTTTTTAGGTGGGTAGGTCCAGGAGCAGGATCTATAGATCTACATCCATGGCTGAGGCATCATTCAGCGTGGGGCGTGTGAGCAGATTTATGCACTGCAGCTTCTGGGCTCAGTTTCTGCCAGATGAAAAGAAAGAGGAGGACACATGAAAATCTCCTGTCAGTTTAGCATGCCCTTTTCAGAAAGGGAGGACTAGCTTGCTCCCCTCTTTGTTGAGAGAGAAGGGAAAAGATGACACTGCCCATCCACTGCACCCTAGTGGGTTCAGAGCACGCTTAAGAGAGTGACACCAATTTCATGCTTCATTTGGGGCAGTTTCCAGGCCAGAAGAGCACTAGGCTCTGAGCGTGTGACATGACTGTCTCTCTCTCCCCCGTTGAAACTGGCTTCTAGTGCAGGAGAGGTGAGAAATGGAGTTTCCTGGGACTGGGAAGTGAAGGTAAGAGAGCTGAAGAAGGGCCATTTCAAGTGCTCGACCTTTCTTCTGAGAGCAGCGTGTACATTACCCATTGGTGCCTTCCTGAACACGTGTGAGTGAGCAGGGCTGTTACTGCCCTGCTTTATTTTGAGTTCACATCTCTGGTAGCTGTTCACGCTGATGGACCGTCTCAGCTCATGTCCAGGCACCTGACTACTTGGGAGGGCTTTTATGGATAGAGCATGACAAATGCAGAAACCCTGGATAACTTGCTACAGATAGGATGTCTGGGTATTCCATGTACAGGTCATAGTAATCTGCCTCCCTTTTTCTAAACTGAAGCACAGAGAATACTTTGTTTTCCTCCCTGTGTCTTTGTTCATATGCAACAGATCAGGTACCTTAATTCCTACTTCTGCTCTTTGTCAGAGGGCTGAAGTTCGTTGTGTGTCTTTGCTGTATAGGTGACTCTGTGTCTACCACAATGCAATATAATTTCAGCATTAAGTTTTACATTAAAAAGAAGCTTTAGAAGAACAGTCAGATTAAGAAAAGCAATAGATAATTATACCTACTTTAAGCTCTTGGGGGAGTCTTGTGCTTATAGTTGGTTTAGGTGAAAGACTCTTTTCTTTTGTCTGTGGAAG